GATGTACCACAGTTTATTTATCCATTCACCCACTGAAGGACTTCTTGGTAGCTTCCAAGTTGTGGCAATTATGAATAAAGCTGCTATAGGGCCGGCTCCGTGGCTTAGCGGTTAAGTGCACATGCTCTGCTACTGGCAGCCTGGGTTCGGATCCCGGGTGTGCACCGATGCACTGCTTGTCCGGCCATGCTGAGGCCACGTGCCACATACAGCAACTAAGAAGGATGTGCAACTATGACATACAACTATCTACTGAGGCTTTGGGGAAAGAAAAAAGGAGAAGGATTGGCAATAGATGTTAGCTCAGAGCTGGTCTTCCTCAGCAAAAAGAAGAGGATTAGCATGGATGTTAGCTCAGGGCTGATCTTCCTCACAAAAAACAAAAACAAAAAAGCTGCTATAAACATCCATGTGCAGGTTTTTGTGTGGACAAAAATTTCCAACTCCTTTGGGTAGATACCATGGAGAGTGGTTGCTGGATCATAGAGTACGAGTATCTTTAGTTTTGTAAGAAACTACCAAACTGTCTTCCAAGGTGGCTGTACCATTTTGCATTTCCACCAGCCCTGAATGGGAGTTCCTGTTGCTCCACATCCTTGTCAGCATGTGGTGGTGTCAGTGTTCTGGATTTTGGCCATTCTAATAGGTGTGTAGTGGTATCTCGTTGTAATTTGCATTTCCCTGATGACAAATGATGTGGAGCATCTCTTCATATGCTTATTTTCCATCTGTGTGTCTTCTTTTTTGTTTCCATCTGCATATCTTCTTTTTTGTTTTCTTATTATTGAGTTTTAATAGTTCTTTGCACATGTTGAATAACAGTCCTTTATCAGATTTGTTTTTTGCAAATATTTTCTTTCAGTCTGTGGCTTGTCTTTTATTCTGTTGACAGTGTCTTTTGCAGAGTGGGAGTTTTTAGTTTTAATGAGGAAGTCCAGTTTATCAATTCTTTCTTTCATGGATCATGGCTTTGGTATTGTATCTAAAAAATCATCACCATACCCAACCAAGGTCATCTAGATTTTCTTCTATGTCCTAGGAATTGTATAGTTTTGTATTTTACATTTAGACCTATGATCCATTTTGAGTTAATTTATGTAAAAGGTGTAAGGTCTGTGTCTAGATTAATTTTTTTTTATGTGGATGTCTAGTTGTTCCAGCACCATTTATTGAAAAAGCTATCTTTTCTCTATTGTATTGCTTTTGCTCCTTTGTCAAAAATTAGTTGACTATATTTATTTGTAGCTATTCTGTGCTTTCTATCCTGTTCCATTAATTGATTTGTCTATTCTTTCCCCAATAACATACTGTCTTGATTACTATAGCTTTATATTAATTCTTGAAGTCAGGTAGTGTAAGACTTCCAACTTTGTTCTTCTTCAATATTGTGTTGGCTATTCTAGGTCTTCTGCCTCTCCTTATAAACATTGGAATCAGTTTCTCAAAATTCACAAAATAACTTGCTTGGATTTTGACTGAGACTGCATTGAGTCTACAGATCGAGTTGAAAGGAACTGACGTTTCGACAATATTGAGTCTCCCTATCCATGAACATGGAATATCTCTCCATTGTTAAGTTGATTTCTTTCATCAGAGTTTTATAGTTTTCCTCATATCGATCAGATTTCTACCTAAACATTTCATTTTTGGGGGTGCTAATATAAATGATACTGTGTTTTTAGTTTCAAATGCCACTTTTCATTGTTGGTATATAGGAAAGTGATTGACTTTTGTATATTAATCTTATATCCTGCAACCTTGCTGTAATCACTTATTAGTTTCAGGAGTTTTTTTGTCAGTTCTTTCAGATTTTCTACATAGACAGTTATGTCACCTATGAACAATTTTATTTCTTCCTTCTCAATCTGTATACCTTCTATTTCCTTTTGTTTTCTTGTTGCATTAGTTAGGACTTCCAGGACAATGTTGAATAAGAGAGGTGAGAGGGGACGGCCTTGCCTTGTTCCTGATCTTATCAGGAAAGCTTCTAGTTTCTCACTATTAAGTATGATGTTAGCTGTTGGTGTTTTGTAAGTGTTTTTTATCAAGTTGAGTAAATTCTCCTCCAATCCTAGTTTGCTGAGAGTTTTAATCATGAATGAGTGTTGAATTTTGTCAAGTGCTTTTTCTACAGCTGTTGATATGATCATGTGATTTTTTCTCTTTAGTCTGTTGATGTGACGAATTGATTTTTGAATGTTGAAACAGCCTCACATACCTGGGGTAAATCCCACTTGGTCATGGTGTATAATTCTTTTTATACGTTTTTCGATTCAGTTTGCTAATATTTTATTGAGGATTTTTGCATCTATGTTCATGAGAGATGCATGGAGAGATATGGATCTGTAATCTTTTCTTGTAATGTCTTTGTCTGGCTTTGGTATCCAGATAACAATGCTCTCATGAGTGAGTTAGGAATTGTTGCCTCTGCTTCTCTCCTTTAGAAGCGATTATAGAGAACTAGTATAATTTCTTCCTTAAGTGTTTGGTAGAATTCACCAGTGAACCTCTCTGGGCCTTCTTCTGCTTTTTAATGCACAGTTCAGCCAATTTTTGAAGATGGTCCATGGGACCCAGTTAAACCCATTGTAGTGGTGTGGAGTACTTCATTCTCCTCCATCATGTCATCTGCTCTAATTCCTAACAGTTATTTCTACTTTTTACCTTATTTTTGCTATTGGCATTGTTCTGCATCCTCCTCCTTAAAGCTGTTCTCTCTTATCTTTCCCCTTTTCCACTAACTTCTGCTTTATTTTCCTCAGAGCTTGGCCTCTGGGCCCATTTCACACAGACCACAGGGCTCTGTACAAAAGGAAGCTTCACCAGTTCACAGTGGTCAGAATCACAGCTTTCTTCAGTGATGCCGGCTTTCCTGCATCTATCTGGGCCTCCCTTCACGGGCAAATTAACCACCAAAGTGAGCCCTGGTTTTCTGAAAGTTAAGTGAGAGGATGATTGACTCCTGTGTATTATTTGTAGGATTGTGTGAGGAACATTGTTGAACTTCGCTTTGATTAGTGCTCACAACAACCCTTGGATAGGAATTGTCTCCATTTTATAGAGGAGGAAAATGGGCTGAGAGCTAAGCTCTGTGAGCTGAGGCTGCCAAAAGCCTCCTGTGGAAACCTTCTGTGGAAGGCTCCCAGATGCCTTCCACAGAAACGTCAGAACACTGGGAGGGTGTGTGTGTGTGTGTGTGTGTGTGTGTGTGTGTGTGCGTGCAGGTGTACGCACGTAGTGTAAAATTCATATTTAAACACTTTTTTTGCTGGCTTTAACTATTTTTTGTGTGTGTGAGGAAGATCAGCCCTGAGCTAACATCCATGCTAATCCTCCTCTTTTTTGCTGAGGAAGACTGGCCCTGAGCTAACATCTATTGCCAATCCTCCTCCTTTTTTTTTCCCCAAAGCCCCAGTAGGTAGTTGTATGTCATAGTTGTACATCCTTCTAGTTGCTGTATGTGGGACGCCGCCTCACCATGGCCGGAGAAGCGGTGCGTCAGTGCGTGCCCAGGATCCGAACCCGGGTCACCAGCAGCGGAGCTCGCGCACTTAACCGCTAAGCCACGGGGCCGGCCCCTGACAATTTGTATTTAGTATGATCTTGTAATTGTTTTATCTTTTGGAAGCAAGTCATTCACTTCAGAACAGTTGGATGGAATTTGCAAGTTTTCTGTTTTCCTAATATGTTTGTTGTATTTGTCCAAGCAGAAAGTTAACTGCAGGATTGGCTTTTTCAGTAACAGACCCTGGCTGCCCAAGATGGAGCCAAGATTTGATCACAGGTCCTTACTCCAAATTTTGTCTTCTCCCTAAACCACAGGTTTCTGTTACTCTAATAACCTAAAACAAGAATTAAAGAGTTGTAAGCTGCTACTGTCTGCTTCTGAAGATTTTTTCATTAGGGTGGGGTGTCTGAGAATGAGGTAGGAATTGAGGTAGAGGAAGAGAAGGGAAAGGGAGAAAAGAGGGAAAAAATAAACTTCTTACTATAATGCTGTATTCTTTTTATTCAATACATACAGCCATTCACATCTTTTTCACACTGCATACATTCTTCTATAGTAATATCAGTTTGATCGAACAATATAGATACATGTTCTCAATTAAGTTATCTCAAAGAAGTAATTTAAAATTTCTAAATTTTAGGTGAGCAAGTGCATGATAAGTTTATCCTGAGAAAGACATTAAAATATCTGTGACCCTGTTTGGCTCTCCAAAAATCTTCCAGCAGAAAATTTTTATTTTGTTAATGAATTAAATGTACAAAATATAAAACTACATTTTAATGCTAATTACTTACTATAAACAGTAATAAAATACATAAAACAAGAGAATTCAGTGGGATTATTAAAACATTTTTGTTGACTACTAAGTTAAATACTAAAATATATTTTTATGTAAAGGATACAAAATAATAAATGTTTAATATTATGGATTTCAGTTTATGAAGAAAATATTAGCAAAAATTTTAAACTAACAAATGCTACAATGTTTTTATATTAAATATTTAAAACTTCAAGGCATAATAAATTAATCTTTTTATTAATATAAACTGTATTAGAATATTCTAGAATTAAATATTTTATTGTACCAGAAAAATTATTTCTACAAAGATTATAGGACCAAATAATGGAAAAGGCTGTGGGCTTCTTCTAGTTAAGAGTCTAAACAGTGGATTTCAATAGGAATGCCACCAACAGAGGCAGACACAGTAGGAAGTAATGTCAGCTGATGATGGGTAGGAAGGAGTTGGTTCTAAGGCACTGGGACATCCCAGGCCAGCAAGGCACAACGTCTCAAAGGCCACGTGCTTAACATCCCAGACAAATGCAAGAAGCAAAACCCAACACTTGCACCATCTATGCAACAATGATGTCAAATCTGCTTTAAGAGAAATTATTTCACTAGAATCTATATTAATAAAATATAACAGGAGACGTAAATATAGCTGTAACATAGTCAGATCATAGTTAGCCGTTAGAAAATGATCCTAAATGCATATTGTATCGGAGGTTATTTGAGCTCTGCTGGTGTTGGCGCAGGTGGAGACGCTGTTGGACCTGCAACGCAAAGTAAAGAAATGAGTTGACATTTCTTGATAAATGACATTGATAAAGATGACATTTTTTATAAATTAAAAAATTTAACCTATTAATTTTAAATAAAAGAAAACATACATTTCTGTACCTATTTATAAGGATTATTCCTGAAGTCTACGTAAAAATTTAGCACATGGTCCTACTTGCAGGCACAAGTCATGCATCGGAAACATCAGTCTCCAACTCACACACTGCTAGACAAGAACACAGTGCCCCGTTGGAGACGTGTAAATTCATGAGTCCCACCTCTACGTGTTGAAAAGTCTGCTGACAGGAGCATGCTGAGCTGAACTGACGGGGTGAGCAGAATCTCTCGAGGTGAGTGGGCAGGAGGGAGGCGACTCAGACTAGCAGGCCCGCACTCCTCCCCAGCCCCCAGAGGACGCTGTGTGGCTCTCGTCCCTGCACACCAAGTCCTATGCACCTTCATTAATGCCAGCTCTTTCAAAGAACGATACTGTGCCAGTTATCTAAAGGCCAGCTTTCTGGCATGCCCAAAATGTCTAGAATTGCTGCAGAAATTGTGCTAAGAAAAAAATAATAATCCTGTGTCGTGTAGAGGGAAAGAAGCGTTAATAAGAAGCCTTGATGAAGTCCAGAAAGTTACAGCAAGAGGCTCTTCAGTGGAGAGTTTTCCAGTGGAAAGGAAAAGGCATGCTCTGGGCTGGCCATTGTTTCGTCAAGATAAAAGCCAAGACAGACAGGAGAAGAAATAGGAAACAGAAGGGGAGAGCATGTGGCCGCCGTCAACTATAGCACTGGGCTGAGGGTCAGAAATCCTGGTGAGAGTGGGAGTGACACCTGGGAAGTGACACCTCCGCTACCCAGACAACCAGAGGAAGCAGGTTCCCTCAGCCAAATGGGGATTCTTCCAGATTGCAGGGGCAATACTGCTCACGTAGTCTTTCATTAATTTTGAATAGTTAAAACGTTCCTCTGAGATGAAGCAGGTCTTGCTGCTAATTTAAACACAGAGATTACATACCACGCTCAATGATTTATTTCCTGGTAGAAAGTTTATGGACTTATACTAATGTTAAATGATAGTTCCTTGATTGGATTATGTATTTTGTTGGCAGTGGAGTAAATTCTATCTACATCAGACCATGCAGAAAAATAATGCTAAAAATCCTACAATATCCTGTGTAGGTGAGCCTCCCTGCCCGCTGTGTTTGTATTTTTAAGTTGGAGCCCTCCCGTGCCTTTTCACTCTCTTTTCCATTATTTAAACCCACATCTCTCACATGGTGTGTGATACAATATATGTCTCTCAATGGAACTAAACTTTGTTTTATCTTGTGTAATATGCATAAAAGAATAAAATAATCTTGTAATAATGTAAGTGGTCCTTCTTTTGCTGTCCCCAAATTGTGTTTCGAGAGCTCTGATTATTTAAAGAGTAGAGGGCACCGGCTTTTGTGGTTAGAATACGTGTGGTTTGGAGCAGGACCTCACAGGCTGCCCAGAGGTTTCCGCTTCAGATTTAAGAAGTATGTCCATCGATCTTTTTGTGTGTAAGACACTTTTTATATTTGGATGCAGGTCAGTTTCTCTGTAAATACTCACTTGGGGGAGAAGGCTCTGGAATAAAGAACAAGCACATTAGTTGTTCAATTTAGTAAAACAGACTAAGTATTACAAGAATTAGTACTTTTAATAATTACTTAAAGAATTAGTAAAAGGCTGTATTACTTCAAGTGATGTCATAGGACACAACTGCCATTGTAAAGTTCAAAAGTGCACTGTTTAACAACATCGAGTGTGAACTTGTCACATATCCACCATGACAATGGAGAGAGAGGGTAAGTCATTAACAGAACTGGCCAGGGCCAACCTGGTGACAGTGCAGAGCGAGCAGGTGCTGATGACATCCCCCTAACCAGGTGGAGGCGCCACCACCAGAGTAAGGAGCTGGGTATGGAGACGCAAGCAGATCCCACTTACAAAGCATCTCATGAAACACTTCAGATGCTTGAAGAGAGGCAACACACCTTCCTCCTCTCTATCAGAGAAATGAAGCCTCAAGAGTAAAGTAAGTTGCCTACAGGCAGATGGTCAATAATTGCTAGAGCTACGGGAACTCCACTCATACTCGGTAGGCTTTAAGATGCGCATGGCCAAAAAGAAGACTAATTCTACCTGTAACTGTGACTTTTAAAAATCAAAACTAATATAGTATTTTTGAACAGCTAATTACAGGGAAACTTCTAAGCTATTCAGAGTTTAATAATAAAGCTTAAGAAATGCTGATAATGGAATAATTTCAGGCTTGAATTGTGAGTTCTTTTCAAAGAACTGAGGGCTTTTTATGAAGCTGCCTCAAGGGGACCAACTGCTTACACGGAAGGTCAAGCATTGCAGGGAGCAGGATCTTGTGGATCCAGGAGACTAAAATTGTGATCATTTATTCAGTATACCAAATGAAGTATCAAATTTCTGACAATTAAAAAAAAAAAGTAAAGCCACAGAAATCATGACTTTGCTATTCATCTGAGTAAAGATGGAAAAAGCAAAACACATATTATCCTCACGAGTATCTGTAACCTCAATACTTCTGTAGGTTTTTTACATGGTTTTTAGATTACTCATTATGAGATACATAATGAGACAAGAAAAAGTCCATTGCTGCCATCTCAATGAACGAAAACCTCAGCGAGTGTGGACTGCTGGGTGCACCTCACCTTGAACTTCCTCAGAGCCTCCAAGAACCTCCGGGTCTGGGCACGGCTCTGCCTCCTGCTGCCCTTCAGGGTCTTGCGCAGACTGAGAGGATGCGGGTGCTCTGCATGTCTGCGGGGTCCTCTTGTCTGAATCAGCTCGCTGCTGTAACCACTCATCCTTATAACCATTGCTAATAAGTTTGGAAAAGTTTGTGGGTGAACTGGTTTTTTGACCAGGCCTCAAAAAGAGAAAAATTAATGTCAAACTTAAGTACAAAGGTTCATGATAATCCAGATGCGTTCTCGGCCAACATACTGATAATAAATGAGATGTGTTATCGTCCTTTAAAACATAATAGAGATATTTCTCTCTCTCTCTCTCTCTCTCTCAGTCTCTCCCCCCACCTCTCTCTCTTCCTCTCTATTTCCCTCCTTCTCTCTCAATCTCAATCTCTCCCTCTCTATTTTCAAGCATAAGGAAGTATATTTCCAAGCATCCCTTGTACAGGTGAGACCATGCTTAGTTCAGTTTCCAAAACCTTTCTCCATGGCAGCCAATTAGAAAGACAATAATTCTAGCATTTCTCAGGAAGCCTTCTTCAGAAAACACACCCCTTCCCTGTAGTAATGGGGTGCTCAGACTCTATTTAATTTTTTTGACAAATTATTAGTTCCTTAATTAGTTCTTCCTTGTGCCCATTAAAGATTATCTGCTGCTTCTTTGCACAGCTTTGCCTTCTCTCTGACATTTCCCTCTGCTGCTGCGTATTTGCACGTCTCGTTGTAACCTACGTTGAAGAGTGACAGGGCAGTTTGACGTAACGGAGGCAGCATCAGCTTGGAAGTCAAACAGGTAACACGTGTCACCCGACATACCTGTTCGCTCTGAAACTCAGGTTTCTTACTTGCAAATCACTCTGTTGTTAAAGGTATTCCTAATGGCCCTCTCTCTCCCTCTAGATATATATACATATATATATATACATTTTTTTTCTCCCTCCCAGTCTGAGCGTGCTGCTCTCATGGCTTTTGTCACACATAATATAACTGATTAATTGTTTTTCTCCCCAATGGATGAGAAGCTGTGTGAAGAATGAGTCAGACGATTAATGACATTGATTCAGACACTAACTAGGATTCTGGGAAGGTAACGAGAGCCAGGAGGCCTGAGGACCTCACTCTCCAGCTGGAGATGAACCAAATGTCAGAGCGCCTCATAGGTTTTCCAGCCTAATGCAGAGCCAGAGCACTCACTGTGTGCGGACACCAGGGTCCAGGCCTTGGTGACAGAAAACGTCAGGACTGAGCAACACATACGTGTAAGGACAAGTGGCCCCAAGTTTAAGAGACGAGCCTTTGTGAGGACAGGTTCCAGGAGGCAGGTCTCAGGCAGGACACAGGCTCATGGAGAGCAGGGCAGCTTGTTGGAGAAGTTCAGCCTCCGCAAGGCAGGACCCCACAGCAGAGACACAGAAGGGGGACAGATGTGCTCCACAGGGGCACAGACAGACACCAGGAAGGAAGGAAAACTGGGATAGGAGGCGAGTAGACAAGGCTGGGCCAGGGCTTTGTATGCTGGTCCAGGGGAAGTTGTGACATCAGAGTCACATTACGGAAATGTGTTGCTGGGAAGTGAATATCATTAGGCCGACATTAGCATAGCACGTTGTTGCCATCATTGTCACTGTTGTCACTTGTTCAAAAGATCAAAGACCAAACCCCAACTGAATCCAGACAGTGTTGGCACTGCCCATGCACTTACATGGGAGGAAAGGAGAGTCTACTTCCTGCAGGGTCTTTGGGGGCAAGTGGAGTCCCCACTTTGCTTGGATACTTTGAGTTAATGGCTGGTAGCCTCACCTGTACGAAGAAACACAAAAAACCCTGATTTAGTGAAAAGTGTTCGGCAGCTCAGACGCTAAAGGAGAAGAAAACTCACAGACGGTAGCAGAAGTACAAACCACCCAGGCCTGGACTCGCAGCGTGGCCATTATTTGACTGGTCAACAGCCACAATGAAATATAATTCAACAACAATCCCATCCAACACAGCGGTTCTGAAAAGAGACTACCAGTAAGTCAAAAGCAGTTGCTGTATTCAAGCAAAGATGCATCTACTCAGAAAGAAAAACAGTGAACAACTCACAGTGTGAAATACTAAAGGAGGACCCGGTCTTAAAGGGACTCTGGAGAGGACAGGGTGCCCCCGCCCGCAGGTGGACAGCTCCCCGCACCGTGTGACCCTGAGGCAGAGCCACTGTGGAGTGGCTGTCTTGGAAGAACCTCAAATTCCTTCATCCTGAACTGTCAAGTGGGAACCAACGTGGAGCCAAAGGGAAAGGACACTGGGGTTAGAGACCTGTCCTTCGCTCCTTCGCTCATCCTTGAAGATGGGCTCCCACACTGCCCAGCTACGGGAAGAGAGTGCTGCACCAGGGTGACGTGCCCGCCTGTCCATCTGCCCTGGCGCACCTGCACGGCAGACACTCGAGTGTGTGTGTCAGTGAAGGACTGATGGAGACCACCTGATCCTGCTAAGGAATCCCGGAGGGAAGAAGGCAGAGATGGGAGGGGAGGGAGTGGCATCTGAGATGGGCCTGTGTGCACAGGAGAGGACGGTGCTGCCGGAGGGAACTGTGCGTGAGGCGGCGAGGGAGGAAAGGCGGATGTCGGGGGAGAGTGGAGGCGGACTCGGAGCGGAAAGACCAGAGGGGCAGGGGGATCTCGGGCCAAACGTCAGGGACGCCTGAGCCAGGTGGCAGCAGGGGACAAGGAGAGCGGGGCTGATCAGAAGCAAAAGCAGGGCCCGGCAGATGACGGACACAAGGAGTGATGGAGAAGGTGACTCCCAGGAAGAAAGCGCCCTGAGCGAGTCAGCGGGGAGAGGGGCCCAGAGCAGGCGAGGGACTAAGTCTGGAACGGAGCACTGTAAAACCTTTAGACAAAGGCACAGGAGGAAGGTCGTGTGGCCTTGCTTAGGCACAGATTTCATAGATGCAATAACAAAAGCAAAGTCGTAAAGGAAAACAATTGATGAATCAGACCTCAACAAAAGTAGGAACTGCTGTCCTTCAAAGACACTGTTAAGAGAAGAAAAAGACAAGCTATAGACTGAGAGAAAATACTTGCTAAACTCATCTCTGGGCAAGAATTTGTGTCCAGAATATATAAAGAACTCAAAACTCAATAATAAGAAAACAAACAATTAAAAAATGGGCAAAAGATTAGAACAGATGCTTCACCAAAGAAGATATATGAATGGCAAAAAAGAACATGAAAAGATGTTCAACCTGCCATCAGTCATTGGGGAAATACAAAATAAAACCATGATGAGGAGCCCCTATTAGAACGGCTTAAAAAAACCTGACAAGGGGCAAGCCTGGTGGTGTAGTGGTCAGGTTTGCACGCTCCGCTTCAGCGGCCTGGGCTTCACAGGTTTAGATCCCGGGCGCGGACCTACACACCACTCATCAGGCCATGCTGTGGTGACGTCCCACATACAAAATAGAGGAAGATTGGCACAGATGTTAGCTCAGGGCCAATCTTCCTCAGCAAAAAAAAAAAAACCTGACAAAACCAAGTGCTGGTGAGGACGTGGAGCAACTGGAACTCTCTACACTATGGCTGGGGCGTGTAAAATGGTGCAGTCGCTCTAGAAAACAGCGTGGCAGCTTCTTGTGAAGGTAAACACACACCATATGACCCAGCAATCCAACTGCTAGGTCTTTACCTATGTTCACACAAAAACTCTGTTTTCAAAGGGTGACGGTGACTTTATTGATAATCGTCAAGCACTGGAAACAAGCCGAGTGTCCATGAACTGACGGATGGATGGATGAATGGAGAAAGTGCACCACTATCTTACAATGGAAACTCCTCCAAAGCACAAAGGAAGGAACTACACATATCCGCAACAGATGGCTCCCGATTTGTTATGCCACGTGGGAGAGGCCAGGCACAAGGACTATATACAGTATGGTTCCACTGAGGTGATATTTGGGAAAAGGAAAGACTATAAAGACTGAAATCAGACCAGTGCTTGCCAGGGGCTAGGGTGAGGGGAGGGGTTGGCTACAAAAGGGCTTGGAAATTTGGAGGTGATGCAATAGCTCTGCACCGTGATGGTTGTGGTGGTTATGCAATGTATGCATTTGTCAAAACTCATAGAGCAGTGCTCAGTAAAAGGTGAATTTCCTCTGTGTAAATTATGTCTTATAACAAAATAGGAAAAAAATGCTACAAGGAAACAGCAAAAAACAAAAGCAAGCAAACAAAACCCATGGAGGTATTGCAAGCATTTACAGGAAGAAAAGATGGCTCTTCAGAAAGAGGAGACAAGACCCACCCCAATCACCCTGTAGGTGAGCGAGACCCCATAATGCTGGTGACACTTTTCCCTAAATATTGTGGCATCTGCCACATGCCGAGTGAGGGGCTAGAGCATGGCTGGGAAGCTCTGTGTCCCAGATCCTCTCCCTGTGGCCCAGTTGCAGGGCACAGGTGCACATGGGACGGGACAGCCAGGCCTGTGAGAGGCTGGGGAAAGAGGCCTGTCAAATTCTGCATGACTCACTAGCTTAATGGTGTGGCACGTTTTCATGTTAAATTTCTTACTCTAGCTGTGCCAGGCCCTGCAGGACACGGGGAGAAAATTAAAAAACTCCCCCTGGTCCTGTGCAATCGATGTTCCTGGGAGGCGAGTTGTGTACCAAAGTGACGATTAAAATACCTGAGGAGGGCAATCCGGGCCCTTCCCCACGTGCTGCTCATCCTCCTAGATGGGAGCCAGCACCACGTTCCTTCAATTTAACTGTGGGCAGTGTTTACATTTTTAACCACAACTCCTTTCATCCTACCCCCTTATGTACGCACAGGCGGGCACGGGCTGGCTTCACGTGCCCAGATTGTTCAGCCCCCAGCACAGCTTTTGTCAAAGGCTATTAACTAACCCCACTTGATTTGGGGTTGGTACAGCACTTAGCGTTTTCAAGTTCTTCTAGATGTGCATTGTGACCGTGGTTAACACTCAAAGGTCCCATTTATTGCTGGATAGCTTAGCCACTAACATACCACCAAGAAACAGACCAGATCCTTAAAACAGTCCATTTCATTGATTGTGCAAACAACCCAAAGCCAGAATCACAGGTGGAGGTGCGGATGTCTTGAAGAAAACAGATGGCCTGACGCAGGAAACTGACATTTCCCCCGTGGTGTTCAACTGCTCCAGTCCCTGAAATAAACTGTCAGGGTTTCTCCTCAAACTCGGACACTGAGAAGTCAGGCTGGGGAGTCAGGCGCAGACCATCCACCACACCGACAAGCGCCGGCGCCAGGAACACCCAGCCTCCCCGCATCGGGACAGTCTAGTCTTGCTCTCATTATCAAAGCACCGCTGTTGTTTTTCGCATGCACCTCACTGTTTCTCTCACGAATCCCACGTCCCAAGGACTAAGGCTGACCTCAGACCTCGGTGCTGGAGCCGGCGGACTTTGCCGAGCTCTGGGCAGTGGGGCTCCAGGTGGTGATGGGGTCAAGTTATCACAGCCTCGAAGCCACCAGCTAGAGGTGGCTTTTGAGTTCCCAAGTGCTCCTTTGAAATACAAACCCCCTAACAAGGCTTTCTCCTTGGAGCCAGTTGCTCCTTCGTGGTCAAATACACCCCCGGGGGTTTGTACAGAAGAAAAGCATCGTCTTCTCTTCCTTTATTATCAATAAAGAATATTTCAGGGAAATTTTAGCTTAAATACTTAAATAAAATGGAACTGTTCAGAAATTGGATAATGAAGAAACATAAAATGTCCTTTCTATATGTGCAGGATGACAAGTGGCATGCCAGCTTTCCCCTAGATAAGCATTAACTAGCTAAAACTTACTTAGGTAACCTCACCTCATAGAGTCAACATTCATGAAAACACAAAGGAAGATTCTATTATCATGGCCTCTTGCCTTTCAGTAGATGCAAACTTAGAGGACAGAACCCATGGTGGTGTCATGGGCAACGCGAGACAGACCTCCTGCTAAGGATCACATCACTCATTCAGAGAGACAAGCAGAGCCAAGGCGTCTATTATGGCTCCTGTCACCTTTTTTTTCTCCTTTTCAAGTTCCTCGGCCTCCCTTTGCCAAACTGTCTTCACATCAAAGTCAAATGGCCCTCTTCTGGACTCATAGTTACCGTTGGCCTGATCGGGGTTAAACTCTTCATAAACCATGTAATCTGGCATGGAGACAGCAGGGATTCTGCAGAAACAGATGGAGAGTTCCAACTTGATGCCACTTCCTGATCTCTCCTCCCTCCCTCTCTGCCTCCCTCCCTCCCTCCCCCTTCTCTCTTCCCTCCCTCATTTCTTTCCCGCCTCCTCCTTCCTTCCTCCCTCCATTTCCCTGCCTCTGCTTTTATGTAGTAAACACCGTCCTTTTCCTCCTCCCACACCAGAGCTTGAAGACCCAAGTGGGCTGTGTCAACAATAGTGAAATGAGATATATTAAATTACAAATTAATAATATGAATTATTTATGAATTAATAAATTTCAAAATAATTATTTCTTTTATGATATTATCCACTCCTTTGTCCTCTTAAAATAGCTAGGCTATCCTCAACATTTACCATTTCACATGATCATTTAACAATAATAAATATAACCTTCTTTTGTTTTCTGTTAGATAGCCATTTTTACTGTGGGTATTTAAACTTCCAGCCTGTTTTCCCACACAAACAATGTATACAGGAAGGTCACCCACAAGCACAGAAGGTTTGAATGGCAGAGCACACTGAAGTCAACCCTGGAGGACCAGGTACATGTGTCCCACACCAAGCGTCTGGGAGGCTGCAGAGCTGACCCACATCCTGCTCCTCCTTTGCCACTTGCTCAGCAGTGAGCAGCGTGGCACCTCAGCTCCGGGAGCGTGGAAAGCGCCTGGGCGGGCTAAGGAGCACAGGTCTTGGGTGCCTGTGGGCTTTCTCCTATTTCCTCACCACCCTGTGCATCCCAGGTTGGGAAGGACTTACTAAGCAGGCTAAGGGCTGGGACTTGACCCTAGCAGCAGTTAGGGCCAAGAAAACCTGGGGCGGGGGAGCAGATTTTCAATTTCATAGTATAACTGGATAACTGAAGTAGGCTGGGCTTGGAGCATGGAGGGGCTGGGACTGGAGGAGGCGCACTGCCAGGGGCAGCAGTGGGGGAAGTGAGGAGGAAGCGGGCAGAAGGGGAAAGGGGGAGGAGAGGAGGAGGGAAGAATAGAGAGGGGAGGGAGGAGGGGAGGGGGGGAGGAGAGGATGCAGGAGAGAGAGAGGGGAGCGGAGGGGAGGAGGCGGGAGGTGGGGGAGGGATGTAGAAGAAGCTGGAGTCCTCCAGGACGCGATGCCTGGCAGGAACTGGGCTAGTCAGAGCAGGGGAATGGAGAAAGGGAGAGAAAAGAAGGGGGTCCCACCTCTCCCTGAGACAGAGGGCTGGAAGAAGGCAGCTTGGAGGCCCCTAAGGTCTCAAGGAGAGGCCAGGGAACAGAGGTCAGAGGCTGGGAATGCAGGCTGGGAGGTGACTGCAGTACTCTGGAAGAGAAACCACAGATGTGGCCAAGCTGCTCAGGTAAGGTGGGATGGGCTGCAGGATCAAGAAAGACAGGAAACCCAGCCCACGCATCCCCCTGTGGTCCTGGTCTTTTGTCGCCGGAAGCCTCTTGCCGGTGCCCCAGCCTCCTGCTTCCCTCTCCCCCTTTCCCCCTGCTGGTCCTTGCTGTTTCTCTCTGGATGAGGCTCCCTCAGAGGGAAGCTGTGTCAGTTTTAAAGAACAGAGAAAGAAGAATCCTGAAAACAAAACTGCACTGTGACCACAGGCAGAGCCTCCAGCAACCCTGATGACAATGGGACACATCTGCCAGCGCCCGCTTTCCAAGCCAACCGGGAAAGCAAGCGCTCTGAAGTGACTTTCCGCATTACTGCTCAGTCCACGACAGGCAGCTGGGAAGCTATAGTCTGCATGCCCAAACAGGAATTTCTCAGACATTTCAAACATTCTGGGGGACAGTGGCTCCCCATAACTCTGTAATCACCATAGAAATTTAGGATTTCCTGTGTTTCTGGCCTTGAATGGCACCCTTCTTCTTCAGTGAGAAGAAAGCTTTGGGATAAGCTGTTGTTTATAGGAGGCTGTGGTACAGAGAACAAAAACTTGAAGCAGCCCCCGAGAGGTACAATTCTAGAGTGCCAAACACGATGGAGATTTCCAGAACTCTGGTGCTCCAACAACTGATGCTGCACCCCCCAAAGAGCTGGCTGTTATGCAACACTACCTGGAGTTGCAATATTACACTATTGGTATCAGTATTATACCTTTGTATATGTAAGATTCTAATTGAGCTAACTTTTTTTTTTTGCTGTAAAGATGAACAACAGTACGATGCGGCACGATACTCACTGTCTCTGGTCGGCCGAGGGCGGCTTGCTGTGGTGGACGTACCAGTCTGGTAAAGAGTAGGTGACCGGGGAGCCTTTCCTGGTTCCGGGGGCAAAGTGCTTCAGCAGATCTCAAAGCCAAGAAGACGCACTGTGAGTGGGCCCCCCGACCCGGGTGCGGGGCAGTACTAGCAGGCCGGTCACAGTTTACGAGGGGAACTGTGACTTCTCCTGGGGGTTGCCTCTGGGCTCTGGGGGCCACAGGACATCAGGGCAGTCCCTGGTCCTCACCGGCCTGGGCACATGCTGAGATATGGGTCCTGCTTGGTGCTTAGGAAGGACATCCCTTGTGCAAATCCCCCCACCCCAATCCCACCCCTCGCCCTGAGGTGGCATCTGCGCATGCCATCATCCATCCATTCCTGGGTGAAGTGTGTCGCTCCCTGACATCTGTGAGGGCGAGACTCCTCAGGTCTCCAGGGGGCTGCTTGCGGGCTGCCCCTCTCAGCTACCCCCACGCCGTCCCTGCAGCTTAAGACAGGACAGCCCGACTGTTCTCCTCTGCCACCGTGGGGCTCTCCCTGGCCCTCACAGCATTTCTGGTGGAAGCTGGCCCTCCAGGTTCCAGTGATAAGTGGGGCACAGGCCCCTCTAAGTCATGTTGTGGGGCGGGGGTGGTAATCCGTGCCTCACCTTGGAGCCCCCTGAGAGGCATGGAGCACTAGGGTCCTTCTCGCAGACTCACTCCAGCCCCCGTTTACCCACTTGCTCTCAAGCTTCCATCCCTCCCTCCCCTGGCTCCAAGGGCCTTTTCATAGCTGGGGGGCTGGTGGGGTGTCAACAGGCAGGGAGCGGGGAAGGACCGGTTTTGCCTGCTAATAAGGACAGCAAAGTGATGATGATAACAGCGGTGGCAGTAGCCAACATCTCCTGATTTCTTACTATCAGTAAGAAATTTTTAACTTTTGATTTTTTAAATATTTCAGACTTAGAGAAAAGTTGCAAGAATAGTATGAATTCCCCTAGACCCTTCCCCCAGATTCCCCAAATGCTAACATTTCATTTCACATTTGCTCTATCATTCTCTCCCTCTCCATCTCTGTCTCCCATTAAGTATTGTCACTGTCATTGCTGTTTTTTGGGAGCATGTGGCAGACCTGAGGCCCCTTCACCCCTATATATTCCAGTGGAAGTTTCGAGAAGATGGTTATTACATAATCACAGTACATGACCAAAGTCGGGAAGTTAGTGTTGTTGCAATCCCTGTATCTAATTTACAGATCTTGTTCGGATTTTGCCAGCTGTCCTTCTAACCAATGGCAGGAGCGTGGAGAGGTCCTGTCTGTGTGCCTTACGTGTAGTGAATCAAATGGTTTCTTCTGAGCTTTTTAACATTAAAGCCCAGACGTTGCCATTTTGTTTCCCGTTCCCCATGACAATCTCCTGAGGGGTAATGGCAGCCAGAAAAAAAGGTTAGTATCTCTCAATGCCACTTACGACAAAGCCTGGTGTAAGCCGTTTTAGACGTAACTCCTTAACCTCTGGTCAGCGATTTCTATTAGGACGAGCAAGCAGTACTTTCTCGATTAAATCATGGACAAAAGTCTGATGCTCATCAACATCACTGGGGAAACCAGTCTGTAGCCTTCATTATTTAGAACATATTAAATCATAAGACAGGGCAATGAGCAGGAACAGCAGGAAACGAACACTGCACAGGCTAGTGAGAAAGTGCTTGCCCGGAGCAAGGCCGTGGAAGTGCAGAGCTCAGTGCTCCAGCGGGCGGACAGTTTCTGAGCTTCTCTCCATCAGGATATAAAACGAGGTGGGGTGAATCGCCACCAAGGTGTCACTCAGGAGAAAAATCCTATGAAGCCAATTCTGAGAATTCAAAGTCTACTCAGTCTTGCTCATAAAGGTAGCACGTCCCTGAAGAGTACGCTCATCCCAAACTGGCTCAATCAACGTAAATTCCCAAAGGCCTCGGGCAAAACTCATAGACTGCACAGTAATATATCTATATGGAAGAGATGACGACCAAAATGACCCATCACTCCCCCCACAAAGCAAGACACTGGAAGTGCCCACAGTGCTCACCAGGCCGGCCACCTTGCTTGGCAAGCTTCACGTACTCGGAGTCTGTTTCTCTGATCCAGTACCTTCGCGTCCCAAGCGCGTGCCCATTGGCTGGTTCCCTCAGATCACTGAGACCTGGGATCTGGGACGCTGGTGGAGCATCCACAGCCTTCTTGGACTGCTGCATGGGAAGGTGGTAATACCAGTCTAGGGAGGGGAGGCCAAGGGTGGAGTTGTTACACACAGAGTTCAGGTTGTTTTGGTCCACTGCCCGAATGATGGCTATGCCAGGGAGGGTGTCTCACCCTCCATGGGACATCGGCACGGGAGAAACCACTACAGGACATCAGAAGGGAGAAACTGCTCTCTTCTAAACACCTGTGATGTGGGATAACCCTGCCAGTTATGTAATTAAAAGGCTCTAAAGCCCACCAGCATGCCACCACTGATCCCAGCAGAAGGAAGAGAGCCTTCCACGAGGCCTGCTGGTTGCTTTGCTACTGACTGCCCCTCTGCTCCAAAGCAGTGAGAGTGGAGCCTCTTCTGCTGGGTTTTCAGCCTCCCAGTGCGGTATCCGAGTCCCCTTACATGTGTCTTGCACTGTCTCTCTCTTTTCTTTTAATTCTCCATGAAATTGGACATACACATTCCTGAAAAATCCCAAATCGCTTAACATTATGGGCAAGTCTATGGAATATGTGGCCAAATCTTGGTCAAGATTTGATCAATTTAGTAGATTAAAACCACTAAGATATAAATTCCATCACAGAAGTAACAGCCTTCTTGAGCACGTTTACCTGTTTGACAAGAGCAAGAGGAGGCAGGATGGAGGCGCTGTCAGGGAAGCCTCATCCCGTGACAACCTTATTTGAAGCCCCCATACTGCCCCTGTCCCACCATCCCAGGGGGCCAGGATTCAGGCAGACCCGCCTCTCAGATGCTGGAGCCCTGTCCACATAAGCCCCTACACTTTCGTGCTTTCTGCTTGAGGCCAAAGTAGGACATCACGAGAAATCATTAATGAAAGGTGACCAGAGCTCTAGAGAGTTGCCGAAAAGAGAGGAGGGAAGGCAAGGACCTTGGCCAGGGCAACCTCATATGGAAAACTATCTCAGACCGCAGATTCGTGAGGTGGCTGAGTCTGGCTCCCTCCAAAACATCAAGTTGGGTCCCATGAAGTTGAAGCCCACTGAGTGTAAATAACGGATGTGTGATTTCTATAGGGTTGGGGTCCCATGAAGAGGAAGTTGGGTGTGCCCATGTGGAAGGATGAAGGAGAGGAAAGGGAAGGACAGCTTGCTGTCTGCCCTTCCTCCCCACCTTGATTTGAGCTCCAGGGAGAGAGGCGCCATGGACAATGACCTGAACTGGCCTTGGCAGAGCCATGGGGCCCCCTAAGTGGGCATGGGAGCTGAGAGCACCCAGGACAGAGCCCCGCAGGCTGCTTGGACCACTCATGAGACTCCGTGTCAGGAGTGAGAGGTGTCGGCAGAAGCCCAGGGACCTGCAATTATCAGTGTGTCCTCATGACCCCACAGAGGGGAGAGATCGGGGGACATTCGCACTATTGGTGTTTTAGGTGACTCTTTGCATCAGAAATTGATTAACTGCATGTCCAAATATAAGAAAAAATATCGCAGCTGATTGAAAAACTTTGGAAACAATTCAGGAAGAATGTAAAATACGAAAGATGCCATTAGCATGGCACAAGTGACTTGTGCATTTAAAAGCAGTTACTAGAACTGGTGGTTGCAAATGCATGACATTCAGGTCTAACAGAGAACCTGCCCCACAGCTGGTGTGATGAGTAATTTTACATGTCAACTTGGCTGAGCCATGATGCCCATATATTTAGTCAAACATGAGTCTAGACGTTGCTGTGAAAGTATTATTTAGATGAGATTAACAGTCAAATCAGTAGACTGAGTAAAGCAGATCACCCCCATAATGTGGGTGGGCCTCATCCAATCAGTTGAAGACCTTAAGAGAAAACAACTGAGGTTCCCCAAGAAGAAGGAATTCTGCCTCCTGACAGCCTTTGGACTCAAGACTGCAGCATCAACCTTTCCCTGGGTCTCCAGCCTAATAGACTGCCCTGCAGATTTCAGACTTGCCAGCCTCCACAACTGCATGAGCCAATTCCTTAAAATAAATGAATCTCAGATATAGATATACATATACATATACATACAGTGAGGGCCACGTGCAGATACTATATGAGACAAGACAGCCTTGGATAAACTGGCATGCCCAGCTGAAAGTCTGCAACCATGGAGAGGAAGAGAGGAGGAGAGCCAAGTGCACAGAGGGAGGCAATTAGCAGGCTGGCGCATAAATAAAATATACTTCAATTAAGGGCCAGTTGAGGATCGTGGGTGAAAACCTTTTTTCCAGCTCATACATGGCAGCCCTCACAACATCCTGTTGGTCCTGTTGCTCTGGAGAACCCTGACGAATACAGTAGGGGTCCAGGAAAACGGTGCTGAAGAGATCAATTTGTGTAAACACACACGAGTCCCATGTGCAAGAGGTAATCTTTCCTCCAAAGCTAAAAGCTTAGACATCCAAGCTCTACTTAGAACTAAAACTGGGTTTACCATATAAAAATGAATATTTAACACAACAAATCTTTTAAATACCTAATGGACAGTAATTAGCTGAATCAACATTATACAGTTTTGAAAAGGAGGAAAAAAACCATTGGAAAAGGTTTAAAGAATTGTGCAAATGCTCACAGAGAATCAATTTAAGAATTATGAATTTAGGAGCTTCATGCTCTGATCACATGCCGTTCAAATATTTCCTCTTTTAGAGGGAAGGCATTCGATTCTTGCTTTATTTTTCCTTTCTGTGTTTTGATTACTAATTAATCCACAGAGAACAGTGTATCTTCTACTTCTCATTACTGGAAGCTTCGGACAGGCACTGAACTCTCATCCAATCTGCCATTCATAACTGGGTGCAAAGGAGCTCAGAGTGAGGGCCTATGTCACTGAGAATCAACTGTCACCACCGCACACACACACACAGGGTTAAAGGGATGAGAATTGTCTTGTAGCTTTTGTCACTCACAACAAAAGTTATGAGTCTTTGTATGACACCAGATCACTCACTGTGGTGTAGATTTCTCTAACGTGGCTTCCATGCCTCCTCAGGTGCAGGACGTGAGCACCTTCCCTTTATCAATCAGGAGACAGGCTGAGAGAGCTCTTTGGTCTCCAAGCCACAAGGCAGTGTCATATGCGCACACACCCCAGGGGCTCCTGCCTCTGGGCTGCCTCGGCCTCAGAGAACAGGGCTTAAAGTCTGGGCAGAGGAGCCACCTGTGAGGTGCGCAACCTCAGGCAGCGTCCTAAAACTCTGTGTGCCTCAGTTTCTTCATCTATAAACTGGGGTTAATGATACCTCGTCGGGGTGCTATGAGGTTAAATGTTAGTGTATAAAAGTGCTTAGAACAGTGCCTGGCTTATGTCGGCATCTCTTAATACTGTTCACGTAGGGGAGGCTGCTCACCAAGGCACGGAGAAGTCACATGAAGGCTAAGAACCCACAGTGGAGAAGGAAAACCCCCAAGCCTCTTGTGCACCGCCCCCTCCCCCCACCCCAGCTCTCAGCCATGGTGTCACCAATAGTGTCACAGTCAGAGCTCTGGGCTAAAAGCACATTTAGATCATGTGAAGGCCACACTCTGTTCCACTTGGGAGCAGGTGTGAGGGGCTGCAGCGTGCCTGTCAGCTCCCACCCTCTCCCTGCCAGCGGAGCACCAAGATCCTTTTCTCTACCCTCTCTCTCCAGCCCTTCTCAAGGTGGGGAGGAATCAAACAAGGCAAAAACAGACCACAGCATCCAAGTCTTCTCCCTTCCCTTCTGCTTCAAATCCTGGGAAGTGAGAAGCCCCACTGCCACATGAACCTGCACCCAACTCGTGTTTCCTGTGTCCACTCACTTAAAGCAGGAGACACAGGTAACCTACTTGGGGTCTAAATCAGGAGCAGGAAGTAGGTAGTCAACGGACTACATGGGCACTCAGCTGAAAATGAAAATGCGTAAGTCAACATTCAGGGAAACAGCTGTGAGGTTACAGACCACTAAACTATTACAGAGAAAATTTCAAAGAGATGCTATTGCTTCAACGACTGAGGCAACAGCGGTAGCCTGGTTTTCTTTTGTTGAAAATAGAGAAAAACAAGACTAATCCCCCCCAACCCCCCTTACTTCCGTTTAAGCGTTGCTTGGACACTGGGGCACAGGAGCAGTGTGCAGCTTTCTTTGAGGGTATCATGCGTTAGTTTCATCCCCACCTCCTGCGGGTGCACGCGCCCCCCACCCCCCACGCAGGGTGCTGGGTTCCCAGCCCGGCCAGCAGCAGAAAGACACACCGCTCTTTCCGCGTGGTCACTCACCGCAGGGAGCGTAGCGGCCCGTGTTCCTCATGACGGGTCGGGTCGGGTGTTCAGGGCTGAGCTGGGAACCGCCGCCAGGAACTGAGCTGCAGAGGCCACCTCCGCGCCCCTGTTTTGTCTGTCCGCCTGCACCTGACACGTATGCGGGCATCTCATTACTAAGGAAGGGCGTGCCCGCCCACGAGGTTATACAGCAGGGGCGCATTCATGCCCAGTGTACAGCAGGGCACACCCACGCGGGTATACAGCAGGGGCACACGCACGCGGGTGTACAGCAGGGGCACATCCACGCCCGGTATACCGCAGAGTACATTAATGCCGGGTATACAGAAGGGGCACGTCCACGCACGTATACAGCACGGGACAACAGGTAATCGCGAGTATACAGCAGGAGCACATGCATGCTGGTATTCAGCTCGGGCAGGTCCACACGGAGTATATACAGCAGAGGCACGTCTGTACCGCGTAGACAGCAGGGGCACATCCAAGCGGGGATCCAGCAGGGGACAACAGGTTCCGAGGTCCCGCCCCGGCCCGGTGCTCCTCGGTCCCGGGTGACAGTCCCCCCTCCCCGGCCCCGCCCCCTGGCCTCAGCCCCTCGCTCACTAGCACTCGGAGGATCTCGGTGGGTGCTGTCCGCTGCACAGGAGGCCGGAGCCTGTACTCTGCCGGCTGCCGCGGCTAATCCCAAACTCCCAGCGCGGCGCGAAACCACAACAACTCGCGTCGCCCGGGAAACGGCCCGGCGGCCAACTGGCGGGTGCGGGTGGGGCGCCGGCAGCCAATCGGGGAGGCGTGCGGGGCCGCAGCCGGCCAATCAGGGCCAGGGGCAGAGCGCAGCCTGCTGTAAACCGCGGCAGGGGGTGGGGCGGGGGCGTGGCCTGCTAGCGGGGGCGGGGCCTGCTGCTGGTCTTCCGCTCCCCTCCAGCGAGTTCCACACAGCGGTCCAGAAGAACGAGACAGAGATTTGCTCGTCAACCTCCCATTTATTTAATGCATTTTTTAAAAGAAGAAGAAGAAGTACCTGGGAAAACT